TGGGAGGCTGAAGCAGGAGGGTTACCTGGGCCTAGGGAATTCAAGGTCTGGCTGGGGGTTAGGCTCAGTGGTACAGCATATGCTTAGAACATACGGGGCCCTGAAATATGTGCCATCACCCATAGCAGCTGTTTGGTTAATGTTGAAAAATCATATGTTTAAGAGAATCATAACATCAGAGACAGATGATACCAATACCATAAACAATTATTGTAATAAGCATTCCATGAGAGTGATCTCTACTTTTACCTGGAAGTAAAAGAAAAACTAACAGTAAAAGAAATTACTAGATGAAATTTGAATGTAAATATACATATATATATTTTTTTATCTCCAAGGCTATTTTCAGCCATATGGAAGAGAGACAAGAAATTATGCCCTATAGAACTTGTTTTGTCTACATAGAAAGAAATATACATAGTAGCCAGGATTAGAGAGCTCAGGATGTTAACGCCTACATAAATGGTGATGGTTCTTTACTCACCAAGAAAAGGGGAGCAACATGAATATGGAAGCAGACTATCCTGAGATCCAGGCCTATTTTTAACTGCCCTTTAACTTCAGGATCTAAAAATGAAAAAAGAAATCAACCCACTAGTCACATTTATTTGGAAGAAAGATGAACACACTACTCCATGAGTGGAATTCTATGTCCTATACCAGGAAAAAAATATATATTTTCTCTCATTTCAACAAATATTGAGTGGGTTCCATGTTCAGAACACAATGCTAGGGGATCACAGCAGTCCTAAGAATGACAAAAATTCTTTCACCTTCACAAAATTTGAGAAATCAAAGAAGTCATACACAAGTTCAAGAAAATGCACAGGGCAGAATGGGAGGAAAGCAGAAGAACTGTGAAAGGGCCCTAGGAGGCCTCCAAGGAGGAGGATGCCATTTGAGCCATGCTTTGAGGTATATGCCAGACAGAGGTGAGAGGGCACCCGTGGAAATAGTGCTAGGAAGAGTGAGTGGTCTATTCTGAGAGTATGAGTCATATAAAGTCAGACTAAGGATGGGGCAACCTGAGAAAGATTGGGGTCAGACTGTGAAATTGTGAAAGATCTTACTCTGTGTTGGACCTAGGCTCTTCACTTTACACGCACCAACTCTGAGGTCTAATAAGAGCCACTGATACAGGTCATGAAAATATCTGTTGCTGCTTAATGAAGAGTTGGGACTAAACTTTTAAGGAAGGACGAATATCACTTCTTCTCAAATCATTCCACATAATTAACAGGAGGGAACCCTTCCAAACACATTTTATGAGACCAATATTATCCTAATACCAAAATCAAAGACATAGCAAAAAAGAGAAAACAGACCAATACCCTGATGAACATAGATGCAAAGAAGAAAAAAAATGAACCAATAGAATTCAACAACATATCAAAAGAGTCATTCACCATAATCAAGTAGGTTTCATTCCCTGGATATAATGATGGTTCAATATATGCAAATCACTAAATATAATATATCACATCAGTAGAATGAAGGATATAAATCACTCAATCATCTCAATAGATGTAGAAAAAAACATTTAATAAAATTTAACTTCTCTTCATGGTACAAATTAAGTGTAGAAGGATCATATCACAACATAATAAAAGCTATACTGACAAACCCACAACAAGCATCACAAGAATATGGAAAAATGGAAAGCATTTCCTCTGAGATAAGAAGAAGATAAGAGTATCCACTCTCACCACTCTTATTCACTATACTCCTAGAAGTTTTAGGCAGAGCAATTTCACAAGAGAAAGAATGAAAAGGGAGGGAGGAATAAAGTTATCTCTCTTTGCACATGGTAAAATCCTGTAGATATAAAATCCTAAAGATTCACTAAAAGACTATTAGAACTGATAAACTCAGTAATGTAGCAGGGTACAAAATAAAAAATCAGGAGCTTTTTGATATATCAACAATGAACTAAGAAAAAAATCAGAAAAAAATCAATTCCATTCACAAAGCCTCAAAAATAAAATAAATAGGAAAACCAATCTAGGAAGTGAAAGAACTCTACAATGAAAATAATAGAACACTAATGAAAGAAATTAAAGAAGACACAAAAATGAAAAAATTAATATTAATTAAAATGGCCACACTACCCAAAGTGATCTACAGATTCAATGCAATCCCCATCAAAATACCAATTACCTTCTTCTGTGAAGAAGGAAAAACAATTTTAAAATTCAAATGGAAACACAAATAGCCAAAGAAATCTTGAATAAAAACAGAAAAGCTGATTCTTCCTTTGGTAGCATATGCACTAAAACTGGAACAATACAGAGAAGATTATTGTGGCCTCTGTGCAGTTATGGCACACACATTCATGAAGCATTACATATTTTCAAAGATACTGAAGTGAATGAAATACCAAATAATTCAAAAGTCTGATGTAAAAATGATCAATGAATTCAAGGGCCATAAGAATAAAGAGCTGGATGAATTAAGGAAGAGAATAAAGTATATAAAATAACAATTTCATAAAGAAATATGGATTCTAAAAAAATGACCAAGCAAATCTTAGAAATAAAAAGCTCAAAAACTCAAATAAAAATCATGTTTAAAGCCTTATCATGAGTAGTTCAAGCCTAAGAAAGAAGATAATATTGAAGGTAAGGTTGACAAATTATCACATTCAAATGGTAATGAAGAAAAATATAAGAATGAACAAAACACACAGGATCTATAGGACATGATTGTAAGACAAATGGTGTAAACCATAGGGGTAGACAAAGGAGAGAGATACAGGCTAAAGGCATAGAAAACCTATTTGTGAAATAATAGCAGAAGATTATCACATCTTATATGCATATCAAGGTATACAGGATGCATTTAGGACCCCATAAATGATCAGAAAAAAAACTCTCCATGTCATAATATAGCTAAATTATCAAAAGTACAAAACAAAGAAAGGATTCTGAAATCTACAAGAGAGAAGTTACAAGTCACTTATAAACTCAACCCATAAGAACAACATAAGATTTCTTATCAGAAACTCTAAATCTCAGAACATGAAATGATAAATTTCAAGTTCTGAGAGAAACTAACTGCCAAACTAGATTATCCTTCATATAATAAGAAGAAATAAAGGCCTTCCAAGATAAGCATAAACAGAAGGAACTCATGACAATTAAATAAGTCTTACAAAGATTCTTTAAAAATCCTACACACAGAAGAGAAAGCAAGATGAACACAAGCATAGAATATAGGAAAGAATAATTCTCACTAGAAGAGTAAACAAATGATAATTGGTAATGAATCAAGCATTATTAATTCCATAAGCCAACAAAACTTTAAGAAAGACATGAACATAGATTATTCTAAACAGCCAAAAGAAAAACAAGAGAAAATGAAATAATTGGTACATATAGATGGTCTCACTTCTCTAATTAAAAGATATATTCCAGCTGATTGGATTAAAAAGCAAGACCCAAAAATCTGCTACTTGCAAGATATCCACCTCACTGACAAAGACATAAATGAACTGAAATTGAATATAGAAAATGATGTTTCAAGCAAATGGAATCTGGAAGCAATCAGGGGTAGCTATACTCACAGCCAACAAAACATATTTCTAGCCAAAGGCAGTCAAAAGAGACAAAGAATATCAGTACATATTAAAAAAAGGGAATAGTTCATCAAGAAAATTTAATGATTATAAGTATGTATGGCCCAAATGTCACAAACATAGCTGGACATAAAAGTTACAGAGAGACCCCAAAACAATAAAGAAACACAAATTTAATTATACTATAGATCAACTATACTTAATAGACATCTACATAATAGTCTATCCAAAAGCTATAGAATATACATTCTTTTCATCAGCTGTTGGAACTTTTCCCAAAATATACCATACTTTAGGCCATAAAGCAAATCTCAACACATGAAAGTCAAGATTATTTCTTGCATTTTATCAGACTGTGATGGAATAAAACTAGAAATCAACAGCAAGAGAAACTATACAAACACATAGAGAATGTTCAATATACTTTTGAACAAACATGTCAATGAAGAAATCAGGAGGGAAATTTATAAATTCCTAGAAGAAATAAAATGGAAACAAAACATCTCAGAATATGGGGGTACAGCAAGAACAGCACTAAGAGGGAAGTTTATAGATATAAGCGTTTCTATTAAAAACAAAACAAAACAGACCTCAGATAATGATTTATCTCAAGGTCCTAAGAAAAAAGAATAAAGCAACCAAAATCAGTAGAAGAAAGAATAATAAAGATCAGAGCTGAACTGAATGAAATAGAGACAGACTAAAAGAACTCTACAAAAAAAAAAAAATCAATGAAACAAAGACTTTGTTCTTTGAAAAGACTGACAGATCCTTAGCTAAACTAATGAAAAGAGAGAATACTGAAATAAATAAAATTAGAAACAAAAAGATATTACAGCAGCTATCACTGAAATCCAGATGATAATTAGAGACTATTTAAAAAATTATACTACAATAAAATGGAAAATCTCTGGAAGATATAGACAAATTTCTAGACATGTGTAACCTAACAAAATTGAACCAAGAGGATATTAAAGCCTAAGCAGATCAATAATAAGCAATGAGATTAAATCATTTATAAAAAAAATTTTGCAACAAAGCAAAGCCCAGGATTCGACAGGTACATTGTCGACTTTTACAAGAGGCTTAAAGAAGAAATAACACCAATGTTTCTCAAGCTATCTTATAATATAGAGAGACAAAACTTTTTTGCACTTGTCCTATGAAGCCAGTATTACCCTGTCACCAAAACCTGATAAGGATACAACAATAACAACAGAAGAAAACTTCAGACCAACATCCTTGATGGACACAGATGCAAAAATCCTCAATAATATACTTGTAAATCAAATTCAGTGATGCATTAAAAATATTATACACCACAATCAAGTTGGTTTCATTCCAGGTATGCAAGGATGGGTCAACATACAGAAAACAATACATACAAAACAGCACCTAAATAGAACCAAAACCAAAAATCACATGATCATCTCAATAAATGTAAAAAAAAAAAAAAGCCTTTGATAAAATTCAGAATCCCTTTGTGATAAAATTTCTGAAGACACTAGGTATTGAAGGATTATACCTCAACATGTTACAAGTTATATATGACTACCCTATGGCCAACATTACACTAAATTGGGAAACAGTGAAAGCATTTTCTCTAAAATCAGGAATGAGACAAGAGTATCTGCTTTCATCACTTTTATTCATTTTAACATTGTATACAAATGTTAATCAGAGCAATTGGGCAAGAGAAAGAAAAAAAAAGTGATATAAATAGGAAGGGAAGAAGTCAAATTATCCCTGTCTGCAGGTGATATGAATCGAATACTCTACCAAATGACTCTGAGAACTGATAAATTGAGCAATGTAGTATGATACAAAATCAACATACAAAATCCAGTGACTTTTTTATACACCAATAATGAACTCACTGAAAAAGAAATTAGGAAAATAATTCTATTCATAAAGACCTCAAAATAAAATACCCAGGGATAAAACCTAACTAGGTGGAAATTATAAAACGCTAAAGAAAGAAATCAAAGAAGATACTAGAAGATGGAAAGACCTCTCATGTCCATGTATAGAAAGATCACACCAAACCCTATTAATGTGTACAATTAGTATTTATTAATAAAAAATTTTATGAGTTGGAACTTATGCAGGAGGAGGAGTATGTAACACTTCTTAATGAGAGAAGAGGAGAAAAGACAGAGAAATAGTGGTGCCCATTGTTGGAGCCCTGCAGGCAGATGTGCAGGATGGATCACAGTAAGCAACAGGGAGTTTCTGTGGCCGAAAGTAATAAGGAGAGTCTCTGGGGACACAAGTCAGAGCTTCAAAAGTCTGACTTCTCTCTTTGCAGACTTTAATCTCCACTGCCACCCAGGGACAATCAGGTGGTGGTATATTAGGGAGTATGGTAGATTTCTCTTGGCCCTGTCGTTATTGTCCAGAAAGGAAGAAAACAGGACTCTACACAGGTGATGGCACAATACTGTAGGAATAGCATGGGATTACTCTTTGTTTGCACCCCCTCACCAACCCATCCATACTTCCTTCTATGTCCAATATGAGCACGGGGACTTGTATTCAGCTATCACAAACATAAATCCTTTAATAAGCACTTCCATGCATCCTCAGATCACTCTTCTGGTTACCTTTCTTTAAACTCTATTCCCCTAGAGGTCAGGAACTCTCTCTCCTATTCTTCAGAAAGACTTCTGTGCCTGAGGGGTGAAGAGAAACAGGTTGTGATATTCATTTAGGTATTCCAACTCCCATTGGATGCTTCTATGCTTCATACCACAGTCCTTTAAATCCTGGTATGTGCTGGAGCTAACACAAAGAAGCCAAGGGGATCTGTTTGCCAAGCTTTGGATTTTGAGGCAAAACACTGTGATTGCAGCCAAAATCACTGTGCACATTATAGCAAAAAAAAAAAAAAAATTTAATTAGTTTTGCTTCAACAATACCCTACAAGTCCCTGGATGGTCCCTGTGCAGTGGGAATTCACAAAACGAGAAGTCAGCAGCCAATTTGACTAGAAGTCAGATCCCAGAATACACAGTGCACTGCCTATTACACTGGGATGCATATAGCTGAGACCCCCACCTACCTGCCACTGTGCCATCACTCACATATCTGTAGAGGCCACTAAAGCAGTGTAGAGCAGGTACAGGGGACTCAGGAAAACTGTGGCATTGACCTCCTGGGCTGAACACTCTGCAGGACATCAGAAACTTCATGATGGCTGAGACTCTGTGTGGCTAGTTTATCCTCCAGCAACTAATTATGCATACCAAGGAGTAACCTGCTGAGAGAGAGAGAGAGAGAGAGAGAGAGAGAGAGAGAGAGAGAGAGAGAGAGAAACGAGATATGACATTTAACATAGATTAAGTAGATTTTCTTTTATTGCTTTAATAGTTCCCAGGCAACATTTGCTTTTGCTTTTCCAACCAACAGAAGTGATCAGAAAATGATTAGAATTTCTCTTGCAGATGAAATTCCGATTTTTGCATTTGTGCTGTTTTATGAGCTGAAACTATTTTAAGAGCCAATTTATAGTTTTCTCTGCTAAAATTAGATTTTTTTTTTTTAAAAAAAAGGATGTGCAGCAATTGGAGGATGCCTGCCGTTAGCAGCTCGCCCTAAGGCAATATACTGTGTTTATCATTTTCTATAAAAAAGTTTGTCTTAATTTAATATCGTTTAGACTTGTTCCATTTTACCCAACAAGAAAAGAAAGAAGCAAACCACCTTCTGCAGGGTCAGAGAAAGAGTTTACTCAGGCACTGGTCCAGGGCATTCCCTTCAGGGTCAGATGGTTTCCAGGAGCTCTCTAATCTCAAATCTGTTCATTCTCAAAAGAACTGCCCTTTTGAACATTTTCCCTTCTTGAAATTTCAACCTTTAGGATTATTGATATTCCCTCTCTTCTCTCCTCCTAGAGAATCCCATTACAAAAACCATGATTGAATCACAACAGAGCTTTTCATCTACCTAATCCTTACCATAGATCTAGGAGGCAAGGCTATGCAAACTAGCTCAAAATGTACTTCTGTCCACCTCCAGGCCAAGTTACCTACAGCGAGGCATAACTTTCAGGTCTGTAAGAAGCCATTCTTAGTGAGGAGAATAACAGCACCCATTCTCTTCTTATCACTCAAAGCAAGGCATATTATGCACATGAGTTCAATAGGGATTGCTTTTGTCCGCAAATAATGCTGTGCTGTTCCTACAGGAACCTACTGGCATAGATTTGCCCTTGCTGGATCCTGCCAGCACCATCACCACCGTCACAGGGCCGAGCGCTTTCAGCATCCCTCTTCCCATCAGGCAGAAGCTCTGCAGCAGCCTGGATGCCCCACAGACAAGAGGCCATGACTGGAGGATGCTGGCTCATAAGCTAAATCTGGACAGGTAGGTGTGGCCAGGCTCCAAGACTGGTTTCTTTCTGTTAGACACAAGTCTCCAGGACTGATAACTGTTAGACACAGCGCAGCATTCATTTTTTTTTCCCATCCATACATCTATTTATTTTTTCATTCTGCAAACCTGTATTAAGCTGCTTCTTTACATCTCACAACACAGACTTACAATCCTAATTCACAGAGATATTCTTGGTTTGTTTGACATTTGTAAGCGTCGGGTTTTGTGACCTACTTTGCCAAGTTGATAGGCTAAATGCTCCTAAATATTATATTCGTTCACTAAATTATTGTTCCTCATCTCCAGTGGAGCAGGACCTAATGCTTGGTGAATAATTATCATGCCAACATAGCATTGATATTAAGTTATAATGAGACCTCAGGAGCCTCCACTTTGTAGAATGTTGCCATCACCACCGGGCAAAGGATGTGGCATGACCTGTCAAAGATCCTGGGCTAGAAAGAAAACATAAGTCTCTTGATTTCCTGTTTAGGATATGACCCATAGACATCTTGTCTCTTAAATTATCTTACTCAGAGTTGAGGTTAACAAAGTTAAACATCACGTCTCCTGTCTGGAGCTGATCTAATTAAGTATGGGCTAGTCATTTAGGATGGCTCACTGTAAACCACAGTGGGGCCGAGATACTTCAAGACAGATGGAGAGACAGAAAAGTTCCGCCCTGTAACAACAGAAGAGAAAATAGATCCATAAATCTTGCCTTTCAGCACATTTTCCCATTCCCAATTACAGGTACTTGAATTACTTTGCCACCAAATCAAGCCCCACTGGTGTAATCCTGGATCTCTGGGAGGCACAGAACTTCCCAGATGGAAACCTGAGCATGCTGGCAGCTGTCTTGGAAGAAATGGGAAGACATGAAACAGTAGTGTCTTTAGCAGCAGAAGGGCAGTATTGACCACACTGGAAATGAAGATGAAGGAGAAAAATGCACAGGGAGTCTGTGGCCGTCCAGGGAAAACACAGCTGAGGAGGAAATCCAAACTAGACCAATGAGCTTCACAGGCAAGATGGCAGCGGGAGAGAGAAGGAGAACAGATACGACTACCAATGTACATGCCCACTTGACTTGGACAGTATCACAGGAGTTAAGAAAAATTGTGTAAATGTGTACCTTGAATTTAGAAGTCAACCTAATTTTCCTCTTAGTTGGGCTGTATGCTGTATGGTACAGGATCTTACAGTTTCCTAGGAAACGCTTTTTATTGCTATCCAGATATATGGATAAACTTTCTTAACAAACCCAATTTCTACAAATGTTGTTTACATCAAATTGGACAGGGATGCAGACACTGTCCATGGCGCATTCTATTTTTGTTCAGATCATTTGAAGTTGAAGCTGTGGACGGTTTGTTGTGTCTATTTCAGATTAGTAATTTACAAAGAAGTCAGACTTTTGCTACAAATCTCGTACATCCAGTGTCTCAGATAATCCTCCCAATCAATGTTCTGTTTCTAGAACTTGTAGAACCAGTGTTACTGTTTGTATCAGGGAAGGGGAGAATCTCAATGGAAAGGAGAAATGACTTAAGATTCCTTATGCCTTGGGTGCACCTGCCTGGTGCGCTTTAGGAGTAAAGCTGTAGCATTGCAGGGAAGATAGTGATTCATATTCAAACGCTCAAAACATTTCTTCTTGGCGTGTTTGTAATATGAAATTTAAAGAATTTTTTTTAAAAAGGTATCATTATTATTATTGATGAGTATCTGCAAGTATTTTAGTAAAAGGGTCTTCTTTTAACTTCTGTTTTTGTTAGCGGTACTGTTAGTATTTGGTATTGACTAGAACTGCCTCACTTCCTCACATAAGAGGTGGGTGTGGTGACCAGCTTAGTCCAACAGGCATTGCTTCCTTGACCTTTGACCCTCTTCTACCATTCTATCCTGAAAAGGTAGAAAGCACTCACTGGCTTATCAGTCAATTCTTTCAGCTTGCTCAGACAGGCTCTTTCTCCTTTGCGTCTTACTATGAGAAGTGTTCCCCCTGAATTTCACTTAGTAGTGTAGTTGTGTGGTGCCACGTTGACTCTCCATAGTACTCTGTCTGCCTTAGGGGCAGTGTGGTTGGGAAAATAGCTAGAAAATCAGAAAACCAGTTCTGTCTAGCTGAACTGCCTTGGGGAAGGCATTAAAACTCATTGGATTTCAGCTTCCTTACCTATAACATAAGGGGTGGGACTAGATCACCTTCAAGGTTCAACAATGCTGGACTTCCATTGTTAGGCCTCCAGTCTCATTCATCAGTCTGAAGTTGATAACGGACTCTGACCTGGATCATTCAGTCAGCTAGCCTCCCCCCCCTCCACTACATTATGCCTTTCAAATCATTTTGACTTGGCAGAGAATTATTCTAACCTGCAATATATTTGTTCAGCTTTAAAGTCCTTTCTTTATATCCTTGCATTATGCTGCTCGCTGAGAGACGGCATCCCTTTAGTATCATGTTCTTCTCCTCTCATGGGACCCCTAGGTTTCTTGCCTTCCTGACTAGTGGTAAATTCTGCTTTGTTATTGTTTTGTTCTCTTAATATCAAAATCATTCCTACAAGTTCTTCCTGCAGTAGGAACTTGATGTGTTTTATTCCCCATAGTCTTTTACAAAGGCTACTTAATTAGCCCCCCACTTTTTTTTTACCTGTAAAATGTTAGTCAACAAACTACTTTGTGTCAATAAGGAAGTTTCCTTGGGACCATCACAGGCTCTTCGTTTAACACAGTGAATCTATTCATTCAGCTGGTGGGGAACAAAGTCAAAGCCAGAAGCCAAACCAAGACTGAGTGTGCTTAAATAAGAACATTCTAAACATGACTGTGGTTTACTTTAAGGCTGGAGGTATCCAGGATGCTGGCTGGATTTGAATTAGAAATCATTTTATACATTGTATCCCATATTACAACATGTATTTCCTCTCCCATTTTGGATACCTCTTGATATTCTCAGATTTCTCCAGCCCCATGATTGAGGAACAGTTGGTACCAGTTATGAAGTCTCTTTCGTGCTATTTATCTTTTGTTTTAGATACATATTGTGTAATCTCTCTCTAGCCAACCTGTGCATTCAAATTTCCATATATAAAAATATTTGTTCCACTGATCAGGAAGAGGGAGATTGCACTAGTACACAAGTTCAGTGGATAAATGACTGCACCAATGAGATTTTACTAAATTAAAAAATTTAGATATTTTTAAAAAGAGCAGGAGTTATTGTCCATGGCTGCATCTTAAAATAAACTTGTCAAGATTGTTCTTTAGTACTGGTGTTGCAGAATCATCTACAGAAACCAAGAAATCTGACCTGGATATTCAAAGGAACTTTTGTGCCTCATAAAAATAGAGGGGAGAAAATATGTAGCTATACATATGAAATCAACCCCAAAACTTTTGCTGAAAATTTCTGATTAAAAAAAAAAATCAACAAACAGTGAGCAAGCAGGAATGGTGTTGTTAAAGCCATTGAAGGTCCTTAGGGTTCACTTCAGAGGCTTGTTTTTTGGTCCTACCCCTCACCACTAGAAGAGGGAAGAATGATTGACTCCTTGCGAGTTACTCATCTATCACAGAGCTCATGTTTCCTATCAGATGAAGAACAACTTCCTTCCAAACAACACACCATGTCAATTTTCACTAAGAATTCTGCTTTCCTTCTCTTTGGGAGTGAAGTAATAGCTGTTAGATTGCTTTCCAACTTAGAAGGTCTGGACAGAACAGTTCATTTCATAGGGAGCCACTTCATCAGCCATCCAATGTGCCACATCCTGCTTACACAGTTTGGGGAAGGCCGGCTTCCTTCATTTGGATGGAGGGAGAGAACTATCATTTGTGCATGGTGCCATCTAGTGGTGTGGAATGCAATCTGCCCTGAGT